AAAAGCGCAAAAAAAGAAGGAGGGTGACACATGATGAGAGGGAGATTCGAACTCCCGCCCCCGAAGAGACCAGATGAAGAACTGTCTTTTGCGACGGACCTTAGTCTGGCGCCTTGGACCGCTCGGCCATCTCACCATTAATGAGGCTGTTGTAATGGACATTGTGGACGGATTGGGGACGACATGGAGCCTTCGGTGCTTGTGGGCGAACAGAGATGGGATAGAAGTGATAGAAAGGACGTACCGAATGGCTTAAAGTACGGTTCCAGCTAGAGGGGGTGACAGGCGACGAGTGGAGTTCTCACTGGTAGCCGAGAGATTTGCAGAATTTACATTGCCGATCGGTTTGATTCTGGAGAATGGCCCCTGTGAATGATCTTAGAAGGGAACCAAAAGAATCAAGCAATCAGAGCGAGTCGTAGGATTCTAAGAAAAGAAAGTGATTAGCAACGTCGTCCAATAGCTGAACATGAGGCGAAAGATACAAACACCGTTGGCTCTGGATACATTGGGACGGTTTGGCCGATTGAGTAGATGACTCCAGGCTCCTGTTCTTCAATGATTCTGAGAGCAGCGCCATAATTGTTGTCGAAATCAAAGGAGTCCTAGCGCCAGCTGAATTCAGAGGATAACAGAGCTAACTTCAACAGCCATCTCAAACCGGGACGCCGTGTATGTTCGTCAGTGCGCTTATTGGGAGGAACTAAGCGATCGACGCCTCAAGATACCGCGTCGAAGCGTACAGGGTATAATGAAATTCTGCACGATCATGTCACTTGATAAAATTTCAGGACGTAGAGGTAGTGAACACACCTTTCCCATAGTATGATTTTTAGCCTGCAAGTTAGCGTTGAGCATTCAAAGAAATTGAAATCAAGGTGAAAGATGAGAACAAAATGGGGCGCGTGCGATATTGAAGAGGTTTATGAGCCTGCACCAGCAGGGTTTATAGATGTGCCTCTCGAGAATCATGCAGTTGTAGTAAAGTGAGCCGAGTCTATAAGGAACGCGAAGACACACATGCAATAAACTCATAGCTCTACAATAGACGTCCCACGCGCTCCCGACCATCGCCTACTTCTTTTTCTTGGGCTTCTTCTTTTTTGCCACTCCTCCTCCAGCCACGCCTTGTGATGATGGTGTGATGCTGGAAGCAGCAGCAGGAACAGGACTTGCACCACGAGTTTCTTCTGTAGTAGGAGGTGCAAGTGAAGGAGCAGCCGGAGGATTTTCAGGTCGTTTGTTGGTCATTTTTTGCATCAAGGATAGATTCAAGGCTTCAAATCGATTCAGGAAAATGGAGGAATATGTTTTGAATTTGATGCACTATATCTTGGATAAGAATCAGGTATCGCGGCATAGTAATGATACACGCACTGTAACGTTATCCGTGATCTTCAAAACCAATTTACCCTCAGATGCACTCCATTTTATGG